GCATCTATCTGGTCAGGTGCAGTCATGGCCTAAGGTCCCCAGCTTTGGTCAGCTAATAACTTTCAAGGATCCATCCCCCCAAAGTTATGCTTTTTCTGCATGATTTTGTGAAAACAGACATTCAATTCAATTCATGAACCTTTAGTACACAAATAAAATTGTGCCAAAATATTTAGCAAAGACAGATTGTAGAAGTTTATGAAGTTTTTCTGTTCTTACTTGATGAATGACTGTTATTTTGAACTTCCTTTGCTGTATAGTCTGTTGCTCCTTGTTGATTAAACACCCGCTGTTTATTCTGTGTTAATTTCACTTTACATTTTTTTTTTCTTTTTTTTTTTTTCTGAGTTTGGGTCTCAGTCTGCTGCCCAGGGTAGAGTGCAGTGACATGCTCACGGCTACCACAGCCTCGACCTGCTGGGCTCAGGGGATCCTTCTGCCTCAGCTTTGCAAGTAGCTGGAATCACAGGCATATGCCACCACGCCTGGCTAATTTTTTTATTTATTATAGAGACAAGGTCTTGCCATGTTGCTCCACTTTACTTCTTGTTTAATGCTTCTTAGGCACCAGGATATTCCGAATGCCCACACCTTGGTTTTTGTGCAACTGGTCTCCTCCAGTTCTCTTGTCTTAAGCAGCTTTGAGCCTTCGTGGTCTCTGCCCTCTTCTGAGCTGGAGAAAGTTTGCTTCTCTCCTGTATTATCTTTTCATCTTTTTTATCTCCCCTCCCTCCCTCCCTCCATCCTTCCTGTCTTCCCTCTTTCTCTCATTCCTTCTTTTCTTCCCTCCATTCATTTTTTTCCTTCATTCCTTCTCCCTTTTCTTCTCTATCTTTTCTTTTCCCCTCTTTCTCTCATTCCTTCCTTCCTTCCTTTCTTCCCCCCTTCTCTCATTCCTTCTTCTCTTCCCTCCCTTCATTTTTCTTCCTTCTTTCCTTCCTTTTCACCTACCCTTCTTTTTCTCTTTACCTTTGAGCCAGTGTAGTACTCTTTCTCCCAAGTCTACTCTTAAACCACATTATACTGATAAAATCTATGTTGACACAAAGATGAACTTGATTCTCCATGCCAAAGCTGCCTTTCCAACTGCATAGGGATATAGGCAGCCATTTAACAAGCCCTGATAGTAAATTCCAACTGTGTCCTAGGGGTGGTGTGGAGGAGACAGACACGTTACAACATGGTGGAAGTACTCACAAGAGGAGATGCAAACAAATCACCATGTGACAACTAGCAGGGAAACTGCCAGGGAAAACTGGAGAGGGTCTTAATCTTGGATTTAACATTTGAAATAGCTTTTCAAAGAATATGATTAAGACAGTATATTCGTATTAAAATAGTTAAGGAAGACTTATTGTATTATTTTATTTGAGGCAATAACCAAGATCTTGGCTAATGGACTTGACTTGTGTGTAGCAACAACTTGTCATGTCAACTTTACCTACTAGACAAAATGTTTCCTTCATACATGTGTGAAAATGTGTAAGCGTGAAATATCATGTGTATCAGCTTCCCACCCACTTTGTAACGGGAAAAATAACTTTTAGACATGGGAAGCTTCAGGATGTGGGTGGATACAGTCAACTTCCTTCCCCTACTGTGATAGGATCCTCTCAGGGAGTAGTGACAGTGGGTTGTGTCATGAGTTCCCAAGGTGTGGGCTTTTGAGTTATTGGAAGGGTTGGCAGAACCACAGGTGTAATAAGCATTATCTTTTGGCCGAGTCTTATGATTTGTTGTATAGATGTAGTCCATTTTTAAAATATATATAAAGTAAGTATTGCTACTACTCTAGTACACTAGAGACATTTAATGGTATCATTGAAGCCGTAGCATTGGCTCTCTGTCATTAAGTACAATTTTAAACAAAACATACTAAAATAAAAGTACTATCTTGTATGTTTGGGAGATGATCATGTGTTTTGTAGTTGAGAACTCTTTGAAGACTTCTGACCTTAAAAGGGGTCTTCATAAAATAGGTATTAATGATGGTCAAACAGCATTGTGAATGTACGTAATGCTACTGAACTGTATACTTGGTTAAGATAGTAAACCTTATGTATACTTTACCACAACAAAAAGTACAAAAATATTTTTTAAACTTAAGGCACACGTAAATAAAGCGTTCTTCAAATTTGAAGAAATTGGACACCACTGGCCTAGAGCTTCTTTTAATTTGGCAGTGCTTTGCCAGCACCAAGTGATACCATGCAGTGAGACATTAAGTATTGAGAGCAACAGATTGAAGTCACCCCATTCCTGTCTAGTGAATGAAGTGATTTAAGTGATTCCAAATCTAGAGATTTGGAATAATGTGTCACTTTCAACTTTTTTATTACCTGTCAAGTCTCAAGATAAATACTGAAATTTTTCAAATAAATCCTATGGTTTTTATTACATGGTTTACATTGAAAACACAGGATCACTTATGACACCAGATTCTTTTTTTTTTTAACTGACAAAAATTGTATATGCAAGGGAGGACTCAAAAACCCAGAATTATCTTTGGAGAGCAGGTCCCTTGTAGTACAGGCTTCCCCTGCTAGGTAAGTGTTCTAGGAACCCATGGGCATCAGTGTGCCAGCTACTATTTTGAGAGACTGCATTCAGCTTTGGTTAATTATTTTTTTGGAGATTCTTTCACTGTGTTTGTCCGTCTCATGGTGAGTAATTTAGAAGAGCACTTGCCCACACCTTGCTGAGTGTTCAGCAGTTTTTGACTAAAAATGGCATGACCCCATGCTCCACCTTCCCTAGTCACCTGATCTTGCACCAGCAACTTTTTTTCTTTCTCTAAATGAAAAAAGTCCTCAAAGGGTATTGTTTTGCCAAAAGTTGTATTACAAAGTTGTATACAAAAAACAGCAGAAGCATTTAAAGGCATCAAAATTGACAAGTTCAAAAACTATTTTGTGCATTGCAAAAAGCATCTTGATAGGTGTATTGCATCAAACAGAGTACTTTGAAGGTGACTGAAGTTTAAACATGTAAAAATAAATACATAGGTTTTTATAAGTAAATCCCAGAGTTTGTTAGTTTTCCCTAATTATTTACAATATTATGTTTTGACATATGTGTAATGAATAAATCAAGCTAATAATTAGTACTCACTATACATATATAATCTTACATATTTGTGTGTGTGTGGTGAGAACATTTAAAAATCTACTTTCTTAGCAATTTTCAAGTGTATAATATGTCTTAGATCATTCACACTGCTATCACAAATTACCAGAAACTCGATGGCTAATAAACAACACAAATTTATAATACACAGTTCTGGAGACTGGGAAGTCCAAGATCAAAGCATTGTTGGTAGATTTGGTGTCTGGTGAGGGCCGTCTTCCTCATGTATGGTGCCTTCTCACATGGTGGAAAGGGTGGACACCCTCCCAAAGGCCTCTCTTATAGAGGTACTAGTCCCACCCACGAGGGTTCTGCCATTGTGATCTAATCACCTCCCAAAGGCCCTACTTCTTAACACCATCACCTTAAGCGGTAGGTTTCAACATATGAATTTTTAGGAAGGACACATTCACACTATAACACAATACATTATGATTAACTACAGTCATTATGCTGTGCAATAGATCTCCAGAACTGATTCTTCTTGTCTGACTGAAACTCTGTACCCTTTGACCAACATCTTCCATTTCCCCTCAACCCCTCCCCAACCAGCCCTTGGTAACTATCATTCTTCTCTCTGCTTTATGAGTTTGACTTTTTAAAATTCTACATACAAGTAAGATCATGTAGGATTTGCCTTTCTGTACCTGGCTTCCCACTTAGCACAATGTCTTCCAGACTCATTCATGTTGTTGCAAATATTGGGATCTCCTTTTTGAACGCTGAAATATATTCCATTGTATGTTTATACACACACATTTTCTTTATCTGTTCATCCTTTGATGGGCTCTTAGGTTAATTCCATATTTCTATTGGGAATAACGCTGCTGTGAACATGGGTATTTAGCTAACTCTTCAACATACTTATGTCATTTTCTTTGACTATATACCCAGGGTAAAATTGTTGGATTATATGTTAGTTTTATTTTTAATTTTTTGAGGAACTTTCATACTGTTTTCCATAGTGACTGGGAACGTACTAGTTTATGTTCCTACTAATAGTCGACCTTCTCACCAGCACTTACTATCATTTGTCTTTTTGATATAAATCTTTAAAATAAGTATGAGGCGATTGCTCATAGTATTGGGCTGGTGCATAAGCTCCTAGTGTTTTTCTTTTGCCGGTGGAATGCAAATGTCACATCATGGTTGACTGGTCACAGTTCTTCACATTGGCCAAATCTCAGGTTGACTGGTGTGGATCATCATGGATTCAAGCATTTAAATGGTCTTCATCAAAGCCCAATGGTCTTCCTGAAGGTGGAGAATCACTCAGGTCAGAGTGGCCCTCTTTGAAATGGCAAACCATTTTCTTGTCATATTTTCCAGGATGGCATTCTCCCTGAACATGGCACAGATGTTTCAAGCCACCTCCTTTATCTTAACTCCTCTGTTAAACTCAAATAGAAAAATATGTCAAAGGGTTTGTTTTCTTCCACTTGACATTCCACCTTCTTTAGCCCACAAACAATGCTAACTTTCGTCAAAACTGCAAAATGCAAGGAGTATTCTTATACTTTTTCACTCCAAATGACAAATGACAAACGATAAACAAACTTCCAACATCGAAGTGTTTTGCCATACCAAAAACACACTGCGAATTTATGCAGCAACCTAATAGTTTTGAATTTCTCTAAGCCTTGGATTCTTAATGTTTTGATCAAAGAGGTATGTGTTAAGAAGAATAGCAAGAATCATGGCGCAAATGATCAAACACTGCATATTCAAGGAGAATTTGTCACTTATTTTTAAATTGACACCTTCTCATTCCATAAAGAGAGAAATGGGTGAGAAAAATTATTACAATAATGGCATTTTAAAAATAATATTTGAAAGTGTTTAATAACTATTGTATGTATTATTTTTCTTTCTAGGAAAAGCCATTAACAAAATCTCTACAGCGTGGAGAAGACCCTCAATTTGATCAAGTATGTGATATGTTATGTATGTTATACACTGGTCTTTATTTGTTTTAAAATATGCAAAAGGCATGGCCTGGGTGTTCACTATTGCATTGATTAATTTCCTCAAAGAGGATACAGGGATATGTCGTCTTAAGAATTGTACCCTGCATCTCTAAGGACTATGGTTTATAGATATTTCGCCTATTGATATTTTCCCCTCTTTATTTTATTTTATTTATTCTATTTATTTATTTTTTTTTAAAAACAGATTTATTGAAGTATAATTGGCATATAATAAACTATACACGGTTGAGGGACACAGTAAGTTTAGATGTGTATACAGGCCTGTGAAATCACCAGAGTCAAAAAATGAACAAACCTATCACCCACAAAAGTTTCACTGGGTTATTTTATAATCTATTCCTCCTGACCCCCATCTGTTTTCTGTCACTATTCATTAGTTTTCATATCCTTGATTTTTATATAAATGGAATCATACAGGATATGCTCTTTTAGTTTAGTTTCTTTTACTCTGCTTAATTTTGATATTCATCCTTGTTGTGTGTATCAATATTTCTTTTTTTTTTTACTTTTAATTTAAAGATGTAGTATACAAGTCAGGATTAGTACATAAGTAGTCTACGTACAAGTGAAGTTTGAGTCTTCTAGCCTAGTGATTTGAATTAGAAAGAACTGGAAAATTTAGGGATAATATGAGTAGGGCCTCAACGGATTGTTTCCTAAATCTTTGTATAGTAGAATTAAAGAAACTGAGTAAAGATAGTTTATAGGAAATTCCATTCCAAAATGTGAGATTCTTCTGAATAAACAATACTGCACTAGAGCTTTTTTTGGTTTTCATTCAACATTTTTTTAAAATGCCTGTTACTTGCTTGACACAGTGCTAGGGAATGGTGATATAAAATCTAGGATAAGTTTAAGATCTTCAGGAATTCACAATCTTGTGAGAGAGAAATCACCTAAATAATGAATATAAAACAATATAGGACCTTAGATTCTAATAGAGAAAATAATACATGAACAAAATAATTTATGATATAATAAATACAAAAAAAGTCATTTGAAAATAGGCTAGGTCTAGTATAAGGACATGCAGTTCTCAATAGTAGGTAATAAGCATAAGAAATTTGGATCAGGCAACCTGAATGGGAACTAGAGTCTATAATACTGAGTGATCTCTCACAGAAACAAAGATCTGAGTATCACATGTTCTCACTCATATAGTGGACCTTGAACATCTATCATAATACTATAGGAAAAGGACTGACAGTGTGGGAAACTATGGAGTGGATTAGGGAGGGGAAGGGAGGTGAGACTAATGGTAGTCAATATCTGTCTGGGGACGGGGAGACACCCCTTATCCACAAGGGTGCCTGGATGATGCATATTTGTAAACCTAAACCTTAACTGTTTCCCACAATTTCAAAATAAAAAATATGTTTAAAAAAAAGAAATTTGGATCAGATAGATCCTGTTTCAGTAAATTCAGGGAGGTACCAGGTACATTTAAGACATTAGAAGAATCTGCAGATGCGTTTGTGGTATTTCCTAAACTTCTGCAGCTAATGACAAAGAGGACACCATGTTCTTCTTCGAAAACCTCAGTTGGTGCCAACATCAGATGCAAAATACTGCTGAATGAACCATGGCCTGATCTAATATGCTGTTTTTTACGGTCTAATGAAGAACACACAGAAAGTACACCTTCTGTAGGGCGTTGAAATTGCCTTTAATGTGAAATCCAGAGGCAATATTTCTGATTGTACAAGTCCAGACTTGTGTGATTCAGAAAAATCACAACTCACTGTTGGGATAAAGTCTTCCGTTTTCTATTTTATGAGCTGTTCCCTGAGGGAGACCTCACAAACTCAAGCTCACGGCCAGCCCTCCAAGGCCAGCCACCCAAGGCTGGTGTTGCTCAGGGCTTGCACACTGTTGCTGGCAGAGCTGGCTGTTTTCTGGGATGCTGCTGAAATGGTAGATGGACCTCGTCTCACCATGTCATGGCACTGTCTTGTCTAGTCTCGTTGTCAGTTGCTGTTGTCACCTAGCGGGTGCTGGGATAGTTAGTTAGAGATCCTTGGTGAATATGACATGTGATATCTGGGGTCATCATTTTGGAAATGTGGTAAGTTGTGGCTCTTTTAAAGAATGTAAATATTGGCCAGGCTCAGTGGCTCAGCCTGTAATCCCAGTACTTTGGGAGGCTGAGGCAAGTGAATTGCCTGAGTCTACAGGTTCGAGACCAGCTTGGACAACTTGGTGAGACCTTGTCTCTTCAGTAAATAAAAAATCAGCTGAGTGTGGTAGCACATGCCTGTAGTTCTGGCTACTTAGAATGCTGAGGCGGAAGGATCACCAGAGCCCAGCAGGTCAACGCTGGGGTGGCCGTGAGCAGCGTGCCACTGCACACCAATCTGGGCGAGGGAGTGAGACTCCAACTCAAAACAAACAAACAACTAAACAAACAAAAAAAGAAGGTAAATATCATTCATCTGTTTTCTACCATTTTTTACTCTATTTTATATTTTTTATCTATTTTTCCTATTAAATTATTACTGAGTGTTCCTCAGAAGAATGTTATTTTTCTACAGCCCAGTGTACCTCTCTTTATTCTCTTTAGAAAATAAATTCTAAGTTTTATTTTATTTATTTATTTATTTTATTATTTTTTTGAGTTGGAGTCTCACTCTGTCGTCCAGACTGGAGTGCAGTGGCCGCTCCCAGCCACTGCAGCCTCG